GGGAGAGATGAAAGAAATTAATTGGCCAAGTAAAAATATATATCTGAAGAAAAATGACCGGCATGGTGGACGCAATGCCTGTATCAGCTACTCGGAGGAGGCTGAGCAGGAGGATCACTTGACCCTAGGAGTTGGAGGGTGCTTGTGAGCGAGGCTGACGCCACGTTGCACTCACCAGCCGGCAACAGAGTGAGACTCTGGCTCAAAAATATATAATATAAAGAAAACTTCCTCCTACATGGATCAAAGTTCAATTTCTATTTTGATTCTCAGTTTCTTTGAGTATTAGGCGTGATTTTTAAGACGAAGAGGTTAAATTATGTTCTCTGAAACGGGATAATCTAGAAATCATGTATTTAATATAATGAATCACTGGGGTGGCTAAATATATTACATGCGTCAAATACGAAATTGTTTTCTCTCTCTTAAATTTCCTTCTGTCTAAAAGCTAATGCTGGATGTTATATAAAATTATCTTTTTCTTAGATTTGTGAGGGCAGGCTGAAACAAATGGAAGTAAATGATCATGCTGTAAAATCACATTGCAATGCATTTTTCCTCATTGTTATATAGGGTTTTTTCGTACAAATTCATAACTTTCAGATCACATCAAGGTTAGAATATAATGTGAAGATAGGCCGGGCTGCGGTGGCAGCTATTAATCTATGTAGCACTCGGGACGAGCGGGAGGATCGCTCGAGGTCAGGGTTCGAAAGCAGCGAGCAGAGAGAGACCGTCTACTAAAAGTAGAAAGGAATAAAGGGCCAACTAAATATATAGAAAAATGGGGTCGTGGTGCATGCTGTATCCCACTACTCGGGAGGAGGCTGACAGAGATCGCTGAGCCCAGAGTCTGAGTTGCGTTGAGCCGAGCTGACGCCACGGCATCTCACCTAGCCGGCAACAGAAAATTGGAAGAGACTGAGACTCTGTCTCATAAAAAACAACATATGCTAAACACTTAGAGAGTCTGACAATATTTTAGGAATACACGCTTATTATTCATTTTTAGAAAATAAATGGCGGTGCACGGACTCCTAAGGCAAATTCTCAGGACAGAGGCGTGTTCAGTGTTGTCAAGTTGAGCTGTTATCTATCGTGACACAGCCGCTCGCTCCACCGTCAACCTCCCACACGTGAATAGAAATGAAGATGCCACTACTCGGCTCAAGGTACAAATATATTGATGATTTGTCATAGGACAGCTTGGGAGAAATCCGCAGGTTTGCTGAGAATGGAAAACAGCATGAGCAACATTCTACTTGGTTTTGGAACAAGTTGTTAAGTTTTCGAATACATCTCTTGTTTTGAACTATGTGTTTGTTTTTGCTTTGTTCTTTTTTTTTTTTTTTCCTATTGGTATGGATTTCTACTCTACAGTTTTCTCCTAGAGTTAAGTGAATATAATCGCTGTTGGCCGAGCAACTACTACGGGCTGGTTGAGATGTTTGACGAGCCGGACTATTTGACAATTAGATCCACCGTTCACAGCAACGTGTTTTTCCTTTGTTTCGTTCGCTGCTATCTTTGCGGGTGGCCACATTCCCAATTGATCCTGCGTGGACATGTGCAGTCACCAACAGACTCCGAAAAAGTCATGAAAAAATTAACAGTTAGTTAAAAAAAAAAGAAACAAAAAACTAAACTGTAATTTTTATGCCGTGGGGTTTTCCCCCAAGACCCTGAAAAGCCAGATCGTTTAAAATTTACAAGAGGGAAAAAGAAAAACAAAAAAGAGGCTTCATGGAAAACAACGAAATAACAAACAAACAAACAAACAAAAAAACTACTCAAAAATACATCTGTGGAACAGACACACAGTGGTCAGTTGTAAACAGCTTAGAAAGGCAAAAAAAAAAAAAAAAAAAGTCCTTCTAGAACGTTCAGCAGTCCCAAACAGACTCTGCTTTTTTTTTTTTTTTTTTTTTTTTAATTCCTAGTGGCTATTTTCCTACCACAGTGTTTGAGCTTCATTATTATATTAAATAACTTATCGTGGGTAAAAAGGAGTTGGCTAGCCAGCAGCCAACTCAAGGTCTTGCGGGGACAGGAGTTTAGGAAATACCACACACACGGAAGGGAAACTGAGTCCACCGCCAGCGTCTGACCAACCAGTCTTCTCACCCTCTCTCTGGCCACGCCGATGGAGCTGTGCTTTTGGGGATCCAAAATTGGGGTGGAGGGGTGGGGTGTCTTTCAGATCCCTCCTCCTCCCCCCTCTCCCTCCTTTTTCGTTTAATTTAAACAAAGAAACGCACGGGCTTCCAAAGAGCCAGTGCTCAGAGCCGGGCAAGTCCCATTAGCAGCAAATGTCCCAACGATAAAAACACACGCGCAGACACACACAAAAGAAAACCCCATCCAGGTGCAGAGCCGTGAGTCACGGGGAAATTCCAGGAGATGAATCACGAGCAGAGCCGGGAATCCTCCGGAAGATTCTTTCTCCCGTGGTCTCCCGGATTTCAAATCTGAGTCCCATCGGTCCCCAGCCGATAGGACGTGAGTTCCCATCTTCTGCTTGCGAAGCTGACCGGGGTTGGGGGGTGGGTGGGAAGGTTGCTCCGGTGACTGCCGGGGTCTCCGTGGTTTTTTTTCCTGGTCCCACAAGCCAGGAGGAGGCAAATGCCAGCTCCCGGACGATGTGCACACGGTGCAGCGGCGGCAATTAGCAAACGGATCCCTGCATGTTAAACTCTGCCTAGCAGGCTGGATCTGGAAGACAAAGCAAAACAGCGTAAGACAGAACGTGGTGGACCATCAGAGCCAGGATTCAAATGCCTCGGCCTGATACTTAGTTGTATCTTTCCTAGGTTTTAAGTTTGATTTTGGCAGGATTAAAGCCAGGAAGTAAAAAAAAAAAATAATAATAATAATCAAGCGTTGGAAGACTTCACTGGTTCTTTGGGAAAGCTGCTAGTCACTGCAAAACGAATATTACTGCAGGTGGCAAAAGTAGTTCTTTCTGCATATGGAAGATATACAGTTCTTGCATATAACAGATATAACAGTTCTTTGTATATGGACATTATACAATTCTTTGGCAATATGGAAGCAGATAACAACTC